ATCGAACAGGAGCCGAGATAGCATTTTAGGTCACATCCGCCATCTTGGATTTTTGAATTTTCAAAATTTGACCAGAAATTCGAGTTTCCCGTCCAAAAATACCCCCCGGATGACAAAAATCAGCATGATCGATCGAACAGGAGCCGAGATAGCATTATAGGCCACATCCTTAATCTTGGATTTTCGAATTTTCAAAATTTCACGATTCACGGGTTTGTTGACCTATTCAAGGGTTTATCGATCAATTCACGGATTTTTCGAACGAATCACGGGGTTGTCAATCGAGTCACGGATTTGCGGATCGATTCGCTGGTTTTTGATCGATTCACGGTCGTCAATCGAATCAGTGCCGATCAAATCACGTCAATCGGTTCATGTTCTAACTTTTCGATCGATTCATGTCGGTCATGTCGGAATCATGACACCGGTTTTTCAATAATTTGTCGATCGAGTCGGTGTTGATCGATTCATGCTTTAATTTTTTGATCGATTCATGTCAATCAAATCTATAAACCCTCCCGTCCAAATTACATGTTAATATTTGCCACCATTCTCGAAATATTAGCAAGTCGGTAGGTATCCATATTTTTGGCACAACCTGTTTTTTGTAGAATATCTTTCCGCAGGGACAATGCACCTCCCCCCTTCCTCGTATGATGGAAGGAAGGGGTGTTTTCTCTGTTGGGGTTAACCCTCCAGTTTGTAATAGTGACACCAGGGTCGTCTCCCCTATGCAGTCAGTGCTAAAACAATCTATAGTTCCTAATTTCAAAATGAGCTTCCCCGGATTCTTCATTTTGCAATAAGGAACTATAGCCTTTTTTTGTAATTATTGGCAACAGTGTGATGTTTTTGACGAATCTGTCAACACAGGGTGTTAAAGGAACTCCATAGCTATAAAATGAACCATCAAACCGCAACATTGATCGTTTTGATGAAAAACGCCAATGGTTTTTGCAAAAGTTGCTCTCCTGAAAACCTACCATTCTGCCTATAGTTCCGAATTGCAAAATGCTATCCATTTGACTGACGTCGTGGAAACCTGTGCCCGCTTCTGATTGGTGCCGGATGACATCATTCGGCGCGGCGCGAAACCGGGGCGTTTTAAATTTGCGTACAAGATGAGCGATTTGAACTGCGCATTTCTCGGTTATTGAGTTACTTGCTCGCGTTTTTAATGTTCGCATCGTGTTATACGCGTCATTTTCCTTCAGAAAACTATTAGTCTACACTATAAGTATATAGTCTATAACTATAGTCAAAATTCGTTCATGGTTTAGTGACCCATTACCGATGCTGCCGTGCTAAGGAAGAACGCCGCACAGTGGATCGAGTCAATTGGAGAGGTCGGACACGAAATTTTTACTGAAATTGCAAAAGTAGATGCTCATTTCGTGCAGGACCGGATTAAGGGGATGGCCACGTGGGCCGCGGCCCATGGCGGCAAATTATGGGGGCGGCAAATTTTGCAATTCTTTTTAAATGTAGGTATCAAAAAAAGAGAGGGAAAAATCGGATTCAGAGAATAAATTACAAACGAGAAAAGGCGACAGAATCTCTCATTTCCTGAGGGTAAAAGTAAAGTAATTACTAATTTTGTCGTCTCTCGGTGATACAAGAGACAATACCTTTCGAGTAAAGAGAGAAACAAAACATGCAATTTAACCTGGAACGGAGCGGCGCGGTATGAATCGCATAGCGCCTACAAGACTTCGTGAATACTTCACGCATTGCGTTAAACGCAGTGCGGTCAGCAGCGGTCGGCGTGAAGCGCATAGCGCCTACAAGTCTGCATGAATACTTCACGCATTACGCCAAACACAGTGCGTTCAGAAAAACGCACGGCGTCTATTTGACTGTGGGAATGCTTTACGCATTGCGTCAAACACAGTGCGGTCAGTTTGTTCTTTCATAATTTTTTCGTTCATTTCTTATAAATAGAAAACCTTGTTCACACAGAGATAGGTTCACGGAACTTGTGAGTGAACATTTGCTGGTAATGTTGACAGTACTTCGCAGAAAATGTGCCCAACACGAGTAAACGCGTCTTATGCACCCCTCCCCGCTGCAAGTTCACTTGATGGTTTTCATTGATGTTTCAAAACGAATGAGAAGGGGGCGGAAAAAAAGGGCGGCCCACGGGCGGTAAGTAGGTGAATCCGGCCCTGATTTCGTGAACTTTTAAAATTTGAAGGGCGCTGTCTAAAGTAAATTTTACGAAAAAACCAATAGGGCCACTTTTAAGACCTCCAAGTTTTGTATTAATAGAGTTACGATCCCTTAAAGTTTCCAAATTGTGTCCGACTTCTCCGATTGACTCGTTCCGTTGTGCGCCGTATGAAGTTTCGAGAGTTGCCAAATTTCCCTTTTTAAAACATGTACTTTTGAGACACATTCGTGCATGAGTTTCCTTGAAATTTTCAGATATTTTAGATTAAATTGCGTATAAAATTGTGCGATTTTCGAAGGGCGGTACGTGGAAAGCTGATGTTTTCGCAGACCTTACTATTGTTTGCAGTAAGGATACTTTTGGTTTAATCCGTTTAAATACGAGGATAAATGTTCAAAAGTTTATGGGAGACTAGAAAGAAGAATAATGTATTGGAAAGACGGGAGGAAAAGCAGAACCTTTGATTCCTCTGTTAAATATAATTTTAACCTCAATTTCACGGACTACCGTTGAAAAAATGACGAGTTTGAACAAAATTAAGCAGAGGAAATGGAGCATGAGATTGACGCAGAAGCCAGGAAATAAATGGACTGAGTAGAAAACATTTCAGGAAGTAAAATCATTGAGAGATCATCTAAGGAAATCTTTTAATAAAAGAGGGTGTGGGCAACAGACTTTATTGGACCCGTAATTTTTCCTTCACAAATTTCAAACAGAAATTGATTTCTGAGTCGTAAGTAACAGCCGTAGGGAAAAATTTCATCAATAATTCATGCTTTTAAAAGTGCGCACTATGAACAAAGATGCGAATCGGTCTATAAGAAATTTAATTTCGAAAGATTCCCGTCAATTCTGGAGCGTTTGATTCAATTTACAACGGAAATTGAATAATTGAGAAAAAAAACCCTCTTCTTTGTACCCCTCGTAAATTTTCCCAGGCTGACCTGCGTTCGAACGCGGTTGGGCGGTGCGTTTTCTTGACAGTAATATCTCCTTCTGCATTCCCGCACCCAATTTTTTGCACGGAGCTCTCTGAAGAGCCGATTGCCGCCAATTCGTCAATATTTTCCCGCACCCAACAGAGCTTTTCGAGAAAAATAGGAGATTTTCTTGGGACAATCTGCGACACTGTTTGGCATCTTGGAGAATCTAGGAAGCCAGCTGTCACGTCCAGAATGGTCAGCTTAAGAGCTTCTATTTTGCTCTATCTCTTCATTCACCTTCTCCATTCACCTTTCTCTCGAGTAGCGAGAATATCTTCATGAACTCATGGTCCATGAATTTGTTCGACCCCGCGCTATGTTGAAAATTTAGCGACTTTCTGCAACGCAGGCTTAAACCCCCTTCATAGAAAAAAAGAAAGAGTCACTCTTACAGCCCTCATGGTAGATTCTGGGCCCTAACTTTTTTTCCGCTTGTAGTTTTAATGTTACATTTGTTATGAAAATTATAAATCAATGCTGACCCTAACGGCACTGTTACAGGGATCGAAATAATTTACCGCAAAAGCAACATCGTGACAACGACTAAAATAGGAAATAGGACCTGGCGCCCAAAATTGAAAGCATTGTGAGAGCAACGATTCTTTCAGAGTTGCCACAGAATTTAGACAATTACATTCCGTGACATTTCCCAGACACATTTTAGAGGAGTCTCCTGACAATTGAACAAATGCCAGATTGATAAGAAGATATAAACAGAAATTGTTTTCGGGTAAAATGTGTTGTTCGAAACGTTACCCATTCAAGAAAGCGAATAAAAACGACTTAACGATTTTTCTCCGACATTTTCGTCATTTTCTCTTACATTTTCAGGTTTTCCCTGACTTCTACTAGGTTCCTGACATTTCCCTGTTTTTAGCTCTGCCCCCTCCCTAAGTGTTACGCATTTCATGATCGGCCCCAAAGCACATGCTTCTTCTTCCGTGTCCGGAGTGACAGACTTACAACATACTCGTAATAAAATGTGTTGAAAAATTAGATAAAAATTAGATCTGAGCGCTCCAATAATTAGCAACTTTAGTTGCAACGTCATTTACTAAAATTAGGTCATCCCTTTAGTGCAGACTGATTTCATTTGAGGGGATTCTAGGAGATGCTTACAAGCACATGCACTTTCTGAACTTACAAGTTCAGAGCACCGAGGTTCTTTTCCTCCGTGCTGTTTTAAGTGTGATTCAAAGTTGCCAGATTGTGCAATGGACCACTAGACAAGATACGAATTTAAGCAATCTGATACATGTTTCTTGGCCAGAATTTCACGTAAAACACGCTTCACACCAAAAAAATTACTGAAACCAACTCCTAACGAAGATATTAACGTTTTTATCTCACATTGGTTACGAGTAATTTGAACTGCCCGCTCACAAGATACTCAAAGCTCTACGTGAGTCAAATCGCGCACTACAACGGTTTCAGCGAGCTTCTCGATCGGACAAGGTTCATTTCCCACCATGTGTTGTTCAAACTATTAGCAATTTGCTATAGCTGAGCCAAAGCGTCAAGACTGAGGTTGCCAGATTTTTATATCGCAGTGACTGTCATGATAACGTTTAGCGCGCGATGTGAATCACGTAGAGCATTGAGTTTTTATGAGCGGGTGGTTTGAATTCACGCATAAGCAATCATTAAATATCTTTGTAAGGAGTTGATTTCGGTAATTTTTGGTGTGCGCACCGCGTTTTACGTGAAATTTTGATTCAGAAACATGTATCAGAATGCTGAAATTTGTACCTTGCCTAGTGGTCCATTAAATATAGATATTTTACTCATATTTAAATGAGGGATAGTGCAAATTTTCAGCACTATCTGGCAACTGCGGTGTGGCTTACCTTGAGCAAGTTATGGACGAGAGCAGCCATGAAGCGGTGGAGTTCGGCGCCGTTCTGCCTCTGGAGAAGCCTCAGGATGGTGGACATGTAGCTGAGCAGCCCGCGGAGGATGAACCCCAGCGCTTCCGGGTTGTTGGACATCTGGAGCAGCAACGTGAACCCACGCTCCACCTTCAATTCGAACGTAAACGATTTGTCTGCAATCAGGCACCAAAATAGGGTGAAAATTAAGCTAACGTCATTTATTTCTATAAATGGGCCTCTTGCAACCTTCAGCAAAAACAAAGCTAATAGTTAGCTCTCGAAGAAAATGGCTAAAAAATCACTATGAGCGCATCGGAAAAGTCTGAAATACATTCCTAACTTTAAAGGCGGAACTACGGCACCAGGTGAGGTGTGAATGATCGATTATCGATTTTCACCATTTGAAGTTATGATAAAGAATCGATTATTGAGGTGTTCGTTGCAAGCATTCTGTTCATCGATCCTTTTCTGCAGGTTTGAATGACAGATCAGTCGATACATCGCAAACCTCGCCACTCCACTGCGCGGCACATATGAACATTTTGCGAGAAAGTCGTACCATCTAATGCTTGCCTTCTAGGTTGCTACAGAATTTTCAATGTGACCGACTCCAGGCCAACTGAAAGAAAAGTGACGAGTCGGAATTTTATTCGTGTGAGTGTATTTCAGACTCTCCCGATGCAGTTTGTGTGAATCTTGAGCTGTGTTCCATTCGGAACTCTTCTTTTTGCTTTAGCTGGAATTTGCAACAGGTCCGCTGTAAGGAACACTGTGGACTTAATTTTTCAAGGACTCTGGCGAAAGCAAATTTTCCAATGAGTGTGCACCCTACCCTGCCCTCCCTTTTCGCTACAGTATCACATCCGACTAGAATGGAGATGTTGCATGTATGAGGAATTTGCGATTTGACAACTGGTTTTTATGTAAAAGTTCGCGAGATACACAATGGTGCCACTGGTTTTTTCTGAAATCAACTCCCAAGCTCAAAAAAAGCTCTCAAGTTGAGGCAAAAATGGAGGGGATATCCCACGCTATCCTGAGAGTCCACCTCTCCATCAAGACAAACTCTCCATGCAAAGATAGGGAGCAAATACATTAGCAGTGATATCGTGTTTTCAGTTTTAGAGTCCCCAAATAAAGTGGCAACCCTGCTAATGTATTTGCTCCCTATCTTTGCATGGTGAGTTCGTCTTGCTGTAGAGGTGGACATACTCAGGATAGCGTGGGATATCCCCTCCATTTTTGCCGCAACTTGAGAGCTTTTTTCGAGCTTGGAAGTTAATTTCAGAGAAAACCAGTGGCATCATCGTGTTCCTCGCGAACTTTTACATAAGAATCAACAGTCAAATCGCAAATTCCTCACACAAGCAACATCTCCATTTTCGTTTCGGCACATGACGAAACATTCCGGATATTCTACATCCTTCTCCCTTGACCCTCAAATTCTCCACCCTGTATCGTCATCACACGAACGGTCGCGGATACCCCGGTCACTTTCGAAAGTCACTCGAGAACGATCGGACTTCAATTAATCCGGTGCACCGCGCTCGGGGATGCTGCGCTGAAACGCTCGGATATAACGGTAATTGATTTCAATCTCCCCCGTCGCCCCCCTCCGGCCCGCCGGTCCCTCCGTCTCTTAATTCTCCGTCTGTGTAAACAATTTACGAAGGAATCCCTGCTGACATTCCCGGCGTAGAGCGATCGCTCCCAGTCGGGCGGAGCTAAGTTGTCGAAGACGGAATGTCTTGGGGACCCCGCGTGACCTATCCAACCAACATAAGCGTGCGGGGCAAAAGTCAATTCTCGAGTCCCTTTATACTGAGAGTCAAGACAATGTGAATCCATTTCTGATTGGTTCCCGTATTTTAGGCCTTCACAGTGTCATAAAGGGGAATAAAGATTACATTTTCACCGATTGCAAAGATTATAACCTGGAATGGACCAGGAAATTACGGGTTCGCCAAGGAAAAAACGAAATGAGAAGGAAATGAGAGGAGGGACGGAAAAAGGAATTTGAGAATGAGCCGATCGAAGATTACGAAAAACTGTCAATTAGTGTTATTTTTTAGAGTCCCTTTATACTGCGAGTCAAGACAATGTGAATCCATTTCTGCTTAGTTCCCGTATTTTAGGCCTTCACAGTGTCACAAACGGGAATAAAGATTACATTTTTACCGATTGCAAAGATTATAATGTAGAATGGTCCGGGGAATAACGGGTTCGATAAGGAACAAACGGAATGAGAGAAGGAACGGAGAAAAGAATTTGAGAATGAGCAGATCAAAGATTACGGAAGACTGCCAATTTGTGTAATCTTTATTCCCGTTAGTGACTCCATGAGGGGGTTGTCTTGACTCTCAGTATAAAGGGACTTTAGTCAATTCTGCCGTGCTGAGGAAGCACGCTACACAGTAGATCGAGTTGATTAGAGAGGTCGGGCAAATTTTGATGTTTATTTGATCACATTTTAAATTCTAAGGGGTGGTTTTGACAGGGGATACCACGAGGAAACCAATGGAACCATTTTTAGAACCTCAAAGTTTTGTGTAAACTGAGTTTTAAGCGTTTAAAGTTGCTAGATTTTGTCCGTCCTCTCCTATTCACTCGATCAACTGTGCGCCGTACAAACATTCGAGATTTGCAAAATTTCATTCGATAAAATGTTTATTTTTGAGGCCAGTTATGAATATTCTCCCCAGAAATTTTCAGGAACTTTAGGTGAAATTGCGAGCAAAATTATATGCAAAATTGGAAGAATAATATTCATATGTTTACCAGTAAATCCGTGTTTTATCAAAGGATATTTGGCAACGCCTGAGGGTTCATACGGCGTTTTTCCGCAGCACGGCAGAATGGGTCTCTCGCGTAATTTTGCAAGAGGACTCGAAAATCACGAGCGATGAGCACAAAAAGCGCAACAATACATCAAGGGTAAACGAAAAACACCACCTAACTGAAAATTTGGCAACAATGAGTTAGCAACTTTGTTGCATTCTACAGTATAAAATATGCAAGCTGATGATTTTAGTTGTTTCCAATTCTGTAGGAGAGCACTTCAATGACGCTGCAATATATGAAAAATTGCAAATCCAACCTTAAAACTACAAAAATGGCGAAGTTTCCTCTCCGTTCTGCAAAATCGTTTGTATACCGATAGGCTATATTGTTCGTTAGCCATCGATGTTTTAGGGACTCCGAGGGTGGGGGAGGGGAGGGGGAATAGGGGGTAAGGGGGGCTGAGGANCTGGGGGGGGGGGGGGGGGAGTGTTTGGCGTATGCAGTTCAACAGCGCTCCAAGTCAACTCAGCAAGATCCTACTCTCCGCAGTCACGATCGGACGAATATAAAACGCCTTCAATCGCGAGTGATACTGTGCAACACACCAAAGTTGATATAGTTGTATTCTTAGGTTGGAACCTAACTCGAGTGAACTGCTCTGACTAACGTGGCATGTCAACCTGTGAACCGGTGTGTTACAAGTTACCTCACATNTTTTTTTTTTTTTTTTTTTTTTTTTTTTTTTTTTTTTTTTTTTTTTTTTTTTTTTTTTTAAAGCGATAGTTTAAGCATTCCTTTCAGGTAATCAAATTTATTTGTCGTGCTTGTTATTTTCAGCAAATGTGCAAAAATGTAGCATTAGCTAAAATGATGATAATCTAGAAACAAAAACTTCAGAAAGGAAAAAAAACACATGCAAATAAATATTTTTTTTAAAAAAAAACCCCCCATGGATCAATTTTTATTTTCTGTATCATTTTCTCATACGCCACATACGTGGTCTGTCCGGAAAGTATCAGGACTTTTTGATTATCTCGGAATGTAATGCATATAATGAGCTGAAACTTGGGTTAGACTTTGCCCATGTCCTCTCCAATGCAGCCACACAATCGGGCTTTCACACCTTTAATCAGTCGATTGCAATCAACTGATCAAAGTGTGTGTGTCAAGTGCTATCGTCGCGTTTTTTTTCTTTCGTGAAATGACCGAGCGTGAAGATCAGAGAATTTGTATTAAATTTTACTTTAATCTAGAAAAAACTGCCAAGGAGACCATGGAAATGATTCGGAAAGCTTTTGGTACTGATTCTATGAGCAAGAGCAATATTTATGAGTGGTATGATCGTTTTAAATCGGGTCGTGAAACAGTTGCTAGTGATCCGCGGTCCGGGAGACCTTCGTCGACGAATTCTCCCGATAATGTGGAAAAAGTTCGGGAAGCTATTGCCCAAGATAGTCGGTTAACCATGCGGGAACTGGAAAAGCAGCTAAATATCCCGAAGACCGTCGTTGCGGAAATTTTAACTGAAAAACTCGGGCTCCGTAGAGTGGCAGCGAAATTTGTGCCAACGCTCCGGCTCATTCCTCCTGTCTTGTGCAACAGTTTTTGGCAAAGCACGGTATTCCTCTGGTTCCACATCCTTCATACAGTCCAGACTTAGCTCCTTGCGATTTCTGGCTGTTCCCAAAGATGAAATCTCCAATGAAAGGGACTCGATTTGACTCCATCAATGACACAAAAGAGAATACGACGAGAGCGCTGAAGGACATCCCAAAGGAGTGCTTTTTGGACTGATTTGAACAGCTCAAAAATCGCTGGAACAAGTGCATTGTGTCTTACGGAGAGTACTTCGAAGGAGATTAAAGCCACAATGTCATGGGTAAGCTCGATTTCTCAAAATCTAAAAAGTCCTGATACTTTCCGGACAGACCACGTACGCTACGCCCGATATTGCCCGTGACAAACATTTATACCTCAATTAATTTAAAATGAAAGAATTATCATTATTGATTTGGCCGACGAAAAAGGCTCACTTGCGGGAATACTTGTTTTTGAAGTGTTTATAGTTTTATAATAAAAACCTTGATATGGGCACGCGGTGCTCGTTTGGGTCTATGGTCATAATGCTACCGTGCTAAGGGAAAACGCCGTATGAACATTGCAGAGTTGCCACATTGTCTCCGATTAGATGCTTATTTTTGAGGAGAGTTATGGACATTTTCTCTTAAAATTTTCAGCTAATTTAGGTGAAATAGCGAACAAAATTATCTGAAAATTGCAGAAAATAGGTTTTCTAATTTTCCCGAAAATTCGCGAATTACCGAAGGAAATTTGGAACTTTCCAGTACAGAAAATACATCGTATTCGATACATCAAACAGGTGAGATTGTATCGATATGAACACATAGCCTCAAAAGTGAATTGAGTAATCTGAGGGAACGGGTTTTTTGTGATAGATTTTTGATTATTTTGAGTTCCAAATTCCAATCAAAAGTGAAATTGTTAGGAATTTTTTCATTCTCATATTTTCCGACTAAAATCCTAAAATCTTTGTTTGAGGTTAGGTTCTATTGTTTCGAACCAAACGATATATCGAACCACTATCGAATACGATCCATTTTCGAATTCCCGGGAGTTACCCCTGCCTCCCTCGTTATCACTGCTAACGATTCCAGCTCGGGCTTTTGAAAAATGTCATCTTCCTTGTAGTGGCGCGGCGTGAATCATCGATTATATCGATATTTCCCCATTTAAAGCCGTGGTAAGAATCGATTATTATGGTGCTCGTTGCGAACACCCTGTTTATCGATATTTTCCTTTTCTTTTTTTTTTTTTTTTTTTTACTGCTTCAAATAGCCCACGAGGGCTAATCCTTGCGCTTTAATCCCGTCCACCCTCCGTCCCTACAACCAGTCCCAGGCAACTATAGTTTGCGACCATCCAATTTTGGTCGCCTGGCCGGGAATCGAACCCGGGACCTCCCAATGATAGAGCTAGCGCTACAACCACTACCCCATAGGCGGTCGACATTCCATAGGTTCCCATAGGTTTAAATGTCAGATGAATCGATATATCGCAAAGCACGCCACGCCACTGCTCCCTTGAAGCAGCACTGTGACGGTCGTAAAACGTTAACGTAAGCTGAAAAGCGTCCTTGACTCCTGGGCAGTAATCTGCTTGAAACCCGTACGCGCGAAATTAAATCAGCGGGAGCAGTGGTTTCGGAACGGACGGAAACCCAATGAGGCGTAGGGCGGAAGGGGAGGAATTCGTTTTCCGATCATTAGTTGTGTCACCTTTCCCGCCGCGGAAGGGGGCTGGAGGGTGTGGGATTTCTACCCCTTGTGTTCTAACTTGATACTCTGAGGAAAGTTAATGAAGTCACCGCCAGTTGCGCTACCGATGTTGTTGGATTTAGGGAGGAAGTGGACTACATTTTGCGATGAGGCCGTACTAAGGAAGAATACCGTAAGAACCATCAGGTGTTGCCAAATTTCCTTTCACAAATTAAGAATTTTATGAAAAATGTGTGAATATTTATCCTCCGATTTTTCAGAGGATTTCACTCGTAATTTGATCTGAAAAGTCTAAAAATTGCAAGGAAAGACATTCATGACTTCCGTCAAAAATAAGTATTTTCTGAGAGGAAAGGCAACATTCGAATGATTATACGACGTTTTTACTTTGCACGGTAGAATTAGGAACTACAGTTCCTAACCAATTCAAACTCACTTAAAAATTCACGCGTTTAGTGTAACTCTGTGCCACTTTGCGTTACTTGTTTGTGTTTGATCAACCCAAAGGACTTTGTTGCTTAACACATAACACAATTGTGTGTTAAATTGACCCAAACTGATAGTTACCCTGAAACATCGGGGTATGAAGAAAGTTTTTAGAGAAGAGCAACTTATGTACTCTTGTTTTCTTTCTGATACTCAAAATTCGCAACTTCCAAAAGGCTAGTGGACTGGACTGCCACCGATGTGTTCCAGGCTTGATTCTATAAGCTGTTGCCTAATTTATGACGAGGTTGCAGGTTTTCACACCAAAATTTTGTCAATTTGACGCAAGGGAAAACTAACACAAAAAAATCAACCATCAGCTTGTGTTCATTCGTGTTTTACTTCTTACACTAACACAAGATTCTGGTTACTTTTTTTTACTGTGTACTTTGCCGTGCAGCCATTGCAAAAGCATCGGAGAAAAATCTTGAAAATGCACGTCATTATAAAGGTTGAATAGACTTAATTCGACTCACTTTGTTGTTTAGAGGTAACTGTGCTGCTTTCTTCTAATGTGTCCTTAAGAATTGATTTCGCTTTTTTCCTGCGATTCAGTCTTGCTTTGGAACTTTCTCCCGATTCCTGGAAAGTCAAGTAATTACTTTAATTAACAAAGGGAACACAATACATCACCCTGAGGTTATAAATTACGGGTGTATACGACAGCCGTACTGAACAGAGAGTGCAGTGAGTCAAATGCAGTTTTTTTGCCAATCCGCGTACTCTTTAAGGTTTCACTGAGAATTTTAATACGCCAGATTGGTTGCTCATCTATAAAGAGCTGCTGATAAAATTTGATAGAAAGAGAGTGAAAAATATGTACCTTGATTTATGACGCTTGCAGAGTTCCTACCGTATTTAATGCTATAAAGGATAACTGAACGGATCTAACAAGAATCACGATCCGTGGTTCCTCAGACGAGGGAACGTAACTTCATTCCAAGGTTTGCACTAAAACGATTCAATTTTTCACAAGAATATATATCTGCAATTTATGTCCAAAATGTTTCTCGTTTTTGATTGAGATCAGAAAAAAAGTTAATGGTATTTTCAGGAAGAAATGCCCAAGATTCTCCTGTTAAAACTGCAATTTGCGAGGGTAGAATTGGCAAAAATGAAATATAGTGACGTTCTTTCGTCGGGAAACCACGAATTTTGTTCCATTTCTTACTTTTTACAGGAAAACTAATAAAAACGAGGCTTTAAAACTTTATACGAAACTGCTCATGAGGTACAAAAAATACACCAGGGAGCTGTGAAGTCCGTGTGTTCCTTTGTTCTCTGTGAAATGAATACAATTTGATAGAATTTGATTTTTTTTTTTTGATTTTTGATTTTTTTTTTTTTTTTTTTTTTTTTTTTTTTTTAGTCTGATGTGGTTATCAATTCTGGTTAATGATGCCTTAGCAATGAGATATCTTGAATTGCTTCTGATTTGTTATCATTCTTGACAGAGAATTTCGTGACAGTTTCAACCGAAAATATGCATATCGACGATCAGAAAAATCATGACAATTTTAAAGAATTGCCGTTGCGCAGTTTTCCGTCTAAAAAATAAAGTATGACAGGAAGTCTACGACGTCGCAAACCGAGTTATGTGATTGCCGACTTGCACCGTCGATATATTATTCCTCAACAAATAAAATGACAGCGTAGATTCATAAATGCAACAATCTATGATTAGTTTCTTCATTTGATTTAGATGAGACTCAAGTTTTATTCAAGTCTGAGAACAGTCTGTCCTCTTGGAAAGGTAGACCAGAGACAAGAGACCATGGCAATGGTGGAAGCTTTTACTGTCGGGTCTTCAACATTTAACTGTTGACCAACCTATTAGGTGGATGGTTAACAACGTGTTGAGAATTTTGACTCACAAACAAACCGAAGTTAGGGAAACTTGTTTGGCTCATGACGTCTCTCAAAGCTCGCATCCATCCAGTAGATAAGATGACTGTTGCTCCTTAATTGTCCATAAGAAAGTGCTAAATCCCCGAAAGTAAAAGCTTCCGCCTATTTTCCAGAAGCCAGTGGAGGGTCTTTTGTCTCTAGTGCGGACAGTTGAAAATCAAAACCCCTTCAGGATTTTGAATATTCAATATAGGCATCACTGAAGTAGGTGTAGTGGTATCAAGGCGTTATGTTTCCAATTTGAGAATCAATAGTGCTCTTACCTTGTTGTTCGTGATTGGGTCAGGACTGACCGAGCCGGCCGAATATGGGTCGATGGAGGCACAACTGGTTTCTTCGACGGACTCAGTTCGATTACCGCGGAATTTCTTTAATATCCGCTGCGAGTGAGCATTCGTTCCACTCCAATGGTTTGGCGCTGGAAAAAGAAAAAGAAAACAAGAAATATAAATATACCAGTGTTCCATTTTTTAATTATTTTTGTGCGATTTGTGGGGTAGGCGATTCTTTTTTATATTTTTATCAACCTGTTAAGTTCTTGATATGGCATCAATGCAGCGACTAGCGTCCAAGGACAAGCTGCATCAAGTGCCATTCATATCTTTTAGCCACCGTGCAACGTGATTAGAAAGTGTACGTCATTCACTCCCTCACGGTTGCCAAAGAATTGGACTACATTTTGCAATTAAAAAACTACAATTTCTGCCTCTGTTCAGAAACACCGCATCTTAGTACAATCAATTGCCCTGGGAAAATAAGTGTTTTAATGGATGAGTCAGAGATTGTAGTTTAGAATTGCAGAATGTGTTCCACTTTGGGATGCTTTTCGAGAAATAATCTATGGAAATAAAAAGGCCTATTCTGGCACATAGAACGCTCTCCTGTGGATAGTTCTGTCCTCACGCTCTGACAACCCCCCCCCTCCGCCCCCAAAAAAACTTCGGATCACGACTAAACTACATTTTGTAATCAGGAACTAAAATTTCTAGCCCATCCGTAAAAACACTCATGTGCACAAGGTACTAAAAGTACAAACGTCGTATGTAAACTGAGTCAGACATTGTAGTTCCATGTTGCAAAATGTAGTTCAACTAGGCAACGGAGCCAAAGAAGTGCAAGCAGAGGAGCGCCGACCTGCATACGAATACCAAGACTCCTGACACGGCCGACGCTAAAAACGATCGAGTTCCGATGGAAATTCAACAGCCGTAAATGAATTAACCACCCGCGCAGCGCCGCACAGTGGATCGAGTCAATTAGAGAGGTCGGACATGACATTTTTGACCAAAACTGCAAATTTTGAGGTTCATTTCGTCAGATTTTAAATTTTAAGGGGTGTTTGTGAAAAAAAAATTCACGAGAAAACCAATGGAGCCAATCTTAGGACCTAAAAATTCTGTATAAAGGGAGTTATAAGCGTTTCAAGTTTTCGAATTTTGTTCGATCTCTCCTATTGAATCGACCCTTTGTGCGCCGGGAAGGGGGTTTGGGGCGTAAAAGGGGGCAATTTGGACGGCTCGTTTCCCGCGCGAGCGGGGGCACCGGCCCCGGAAACCCTGCGGTCGACCTTGATTCGGGCCTAAACGCCGAATCCATGGACCAGGGAACCGCCGCACAGTGGAACGAGTAAATAGGAGAGGACGGACAAAGTTTGGAAACTTTAAAAGCTTGTAACTCCGTTTATGCAAAACTTTGAGGTTCTAAAAGTGGTTCCATTGGTTTCCTCGTGAAATTTACTTCAGGACGCACCCCTTGCAGTTTAAAATGTGCCGAAATAAACATCAAAATTTTCAGTTTTACCCGAAAATTTCATGTCCGACCTCTCTAGTTGACTCCATCCACTGTGCACCGACGGTATTCAGATGGGCAGTGCCTTCAGCTCCGGGTTGCGCGCTTGAAGCCCTCCTCTTGACGTGGATCTTAACAGAGGTGGACCCAGCAATTCGGCAACACTGGATTTCTTCAACTTGAAGCTATGCTAAATAATCGAGTCTTGTCGGAGTGCCTGCCCTCTCCAAGAATCGATACATTTTCATAGGTTTAAATGGAGAAAATTTTGCCAATTTGCTTTATCCGGCAGTGGATCTTCAGCACTGTCGAAAACGATTCAATAGTCGATCGATCAATGGAGCTCTTGAATATGTAAGGAATTTGCGATTTAAGTACTAATTCTTATGTAATATTTTGCAAGATACACAATGGCGCCACTGGTTTTCTCTAAAATCAACTCCAAAGCTCACAAAAGGCTCTTAAAGTTGAGGTTGTAATGGCGGGGATATCCCACGCTATCCCTGTTAGTGACACTGTGGAAACCTAAAATACGGTAACCAATCAGAAACGGATTCGTATCGTCTATACTCTCAGCATAAAGGGACTCTACAAAGTAAAGGGGACGCATGTGTATGTATGATGTATCACATTTTTTCCAAGCTCTTACTTTGTCTACGGACCAATTTTATCACACTCGAAGCTACACGAGAAACAACCGAGCATCATAACCTACTGCGGGGGATCTTTTCGCAGTTTATCGTCGAAATATTTCTGGGAACAGCGGTCTCCCTCTACGTGCCCCCGCGTAATAAACACGTAGATCCCCGCATATCGCGAATCCGAGACGAACATGACGGCGCAATAAGAAACAAAGGTGTCGCCCGGGCCGCCTTTATCGAGGCAACTCACGTAGCCTTTGAGTGCCGGCCATCAACTTCGTGACAGGGGCTTAGTAAGACAAAATGCACTTTGAGGCGGGTCACTGCCTGCCCCGCGATTTAACCCCGCGAAACTTCCGCCGGTACGGACTACGGACCCGTCAAAGTTCTTGCCGTGCGGGCGACGCTATAATGCCCCTAAGCCCGGGAAGGGGGCCGGGGGGAGCGCCGGGGGCGCCCGCCCCTTTTTTGTTCGCTGTATTTTTCAGGAATTCCGGGCAACAACCAACTTGAGCTCCTGACAGTTTTAACAACTGAGTTCTCGCCGCACTCCTTCCGCGTTTCATCTCGTGGGCGCGCCTGCCAAATGGAATACATTTTGCGGTCAGGAACTGCGATTTCTGGTTTGGTTTAGAGACAACGCATGTACCATTGGTTTTTCTGTGAACATCAGTGTTTATACGGATGCGGTAGAACTTCTAGTGCCAAATGGGCTACTAGGAAATAAGGTACGAATTAAAAAATTCTGATATATGCTTCTCAAGCATGCAGAATTTCACATAGAACAGGATTCTTGCATTGAAAATTAATGAAGTCAACTCCTACACTGGAAAAAAAAAAAAACAAATTGGATCTAGAGTCCAGACTCATGAAAACATTGACAAGAAAAAAGACTCTTGATTCAATCAGATTTAAGCTTAAATTAAAAGAAAATCCTCTCAAATTAAGAGGCTTGGTTCTTGATTTAAGCTTAAATCTAATTGAATCAAGAGTATTTTTTCTTGTCGATGTTTTTAAGAGTCTGGACTCTAGATCCAATTAGTTTTTTTCTCCGGTGTAACTAAAATATTGACGTTTTGGCGCGTATACGTAGTATACCGCCTTTGCGATCGTTTCGACCCCCCCCTCGATAGACCATTACAGACAACTCATTAGACCATTTGCTAAACGTGGCTCATACAGGAGTCCACTAAGCCCTCTCGTCCCCACGCTCCTGATCACTGCGTCGGCGTCACGAAGAACAATGGGCCTTGGGCCGCCTCGCGGCCGATACCCGTACCCCAATTACTCACGCTTCATTAACCATTTCACCGTCACGCTAGGATTCATCCAA